ACAGCATAGCTCCTAGGATCATTGGGACACTCAAACCCCTCCACCACGATAAGGTAGCAGCCCAAGGAGAGGTTAAGAGAGAAGACATCTATAATGATGCATCTATATGATCTATAATGTAATATAATATCTATATGATCTATAATGATTAAACATCTATAATGATGCAAATCTGCTTAGTTTAAATGTTGCTGAGATCAGAATTGTCAACATTTCTATTAAATGCACTTTTAAAGTGATTTTTGAGGAACTAAAAGAAGCTACATCTCTTTCACATAGACACATCCAAGGTCTTGTCACAAAATTCCCAGCTGTTCCAATAAAGCTCCTGATCTTATTGGAGTGTGAGAGTGAGCCCCACGTGTAAACTGAAGCATAAGCAGACGAGGGAGCACTCTGAGAGCAGCAGTCCTGGAGCCCAAAATAGCCGCTGCCTCACCGTGCTCGCTTTGCTCGTGCTGGCGAAGCAGTTCACAGCGGAGTCTCTCCAGGCCGGCGCTGCTCTCCTCCAGCTGGGCTCGGGTCTGCTGCAAGCTCTGCTCTGCCTTCTCTTTACCCGCCACGGCCAGCTTCAGCTCTGTGCAGCTGTGCTCCAGCTCCTGCTGCTGCTGTCTCACTTTACTCTCATCTGGAAAATGAGGTCAAAGGTGAGCATTTGCCAAGAAAAAAAAAATTAAACAGATACTGAATGACACAGAGAGCGTTGTGACGTGTGAAGGGTCTCACATTGTTCTTTCAGGTCAGCCAGAGCTTTTTCGATGAGCTCAGGGGTTCGTTTGAGCTCCTGAGTGAGTTTGTCTCTTTCTTCACACACCAAACTGTGCTCCATCTGAAGGCTTCTGATGCTGAGGAGTAACAACAACAGAGAAAGTGGGGTGGGTGAGAACTTTAGCTGGATAAAGGAAAATCACAAAAATGAAAAAGTGGTTGCATAAGCAAGGCTCTGAGCAAYAGGGGTGTGTCGGGTGCTGCAACACCCCCTGATGGATGGCAGAGTACATGCTGCGCTCCAGGAGTGAAGCATGGGAACAGGACATGCGTCAAGTAATGTACCATTTTTACATAACTTATTAGTCAATTATAATATTCTTAATAATTTAGCTTGAAAGTGCTTTAGGTTCAATACACACTTGTATGGAACAATACAGATTCTTTTTATTTATTTCATCAGCTTGTCTTTTGAAGATGCTCTGTGTTGAAGGATCAGTGGATCTGTGTTCGACTACTCCACCTAGGCTGCACATTCGAGCGCAGATCCACTGAGAAACTTGCTGTTTCAGCAACATTTAATTTAAAAACTGTACTTTTGAGGTTAAACAAATGTTCATAATTAATTTAAGTAAATTACAAGTTAAAGAGGGCATGGAACTTTCTCTTTTTTGTATCGAAACAATATCGAACCGTGAGACTAACGTATTGAACCAAACCGAATCGTGAATTTTCTGTATCGTTGCAGCCCTAATACATACATATAAGGGATTAACACAAACTACGCAGTTAGGTTCCATGAGAAAAGCTGCAAAAGACTGGGTCCTCAAGCTGTGAAATGCAACTTTGAATCATCAATTAAATTTTTTAAATTGATTTTAAATGAATTTTTATATTAAATTAAGTAAAATTTGCATCAGCAGCCCTGATATATGGTTTAATTATTTATACTTTTCAATGCATATGGTATTTTTGATAGAATCATGCATGCTAACAGCATCATCCCCCCTAAACGCACAGCTATATGCAGTACTGTTACACACTCGTCTTTCAAACCACCAAGTATAAAAGTGAAATAAAACCAATTTAAACTCCACCTGTTGTTCTTCTCTTCTGTCTGTTTACAAGCTTGTTCAATTTTCTGTAGAGCCGTTCTTCTCATAACCAAACCTGCAAAACATTACGAACATTCTTTAGCAGATATACTGCATTAATATATATA